CCCTAACCCACCCCCAACCCCACCACAAACCCCACATACCCCAAACCGACCCCCAAACCCACCACAAACCACACCACAAACCCCACCGCACCATGCCCCAAACATACCCCAAATCTTTCCATGTTCTATGGGAAGATTCTATGGGAAGATTCAGTGGAGGGAGGGCGGTCAACTACTCTCGAAATGTGCAAAACGAGAGTGAATCTTCCGATAGCACATGGAAAGATGCACCTCCAGAAGACCCCAAGGATGACACGCCATAGGTTGGGAATTTGTTCTTTTTTTTTTTTTTAAATCGGGTGATGGCCTTGACGTATTATCATGGGACTAACCAGCCCAGGTAAATTCAATCATGTGTCTAATCTGGCACAGGGGGCTAGGTCCCACTTACACGAATTAAGCGATATTGACCGTAGATAGAAAAGATAAACGGCCAGAATATCTTAATCCGTGCAAGTGGGACCTTGCCCCGGGTGGCCTGAGAGCCTTAGGGTGGCCTGATAGCCTTCAGGGAACCCCCTACCAGGCTACTGGGGTACACCGGCCAGGGGACAGCCGGTAGCAGAGGGACCCAGCATCATCTGAGTGGCCAGTCGCTGTGCCTCCCTGAGTACCCCTCCCTTAGAACTCTTAGAAAGAAAAACAAAAGGAAAAAAAAAAAAAAAAAAACGAAAGTGGGTTGTTGCCCCTTAGGGCCACTGCGTTGTTGTCAGCCCGTGTATCCCATTGGGTCCCTGTTTCCTGTTGCACAAAAGACAGAAATCATGGCGCTGTATCTTTCCAAGCTCTAAGGCAGATTCACTCTCGTTTTCCACAGTTCCAAATCAATCGTAGAAACAGAGTGAATCTTCCCCTGGAACATGGAAAGATACAGCGCCACGATCTTTTCTTTTTTTTTTTCTTTATTCTTCTGTTTTTTTTTGGAAAACGGCCTGCCCGTCGGACTTCAATGACTAGACTGCAGTTACAAACTCTGCCTCACGACAGGCAGGCGACTGAGGAGTTCGGACTGTGTGAACTCCGGAGGGGACTGGTTCGACTGGACTCCAAAACGGTCGGGGAGGTTTTTTTTTTTTTTTTTTTTTTTTTTGTGCCGAAACGTCCCTGTGGCATCCCCTGCCCTCCCGCAACCCCGTGATGCCCCTGCGCTGATGTTTCTACGCGCGCGCGGGCCTTAAAGCGCTTGAGCGCTTTTGAGCGCGACGCAGGGGACTTTAAGCGCGCGCTTATACGGTTTCACAGTTTACGGCCTAAGTTCAGCTCCACCCAACCCCTACCCCACCCCACTTAAGGCGGGCACGAGGATTGCTGGGGGTAGCAGCCCCACCCAAGCCCCACCCAAACCCCACACCACCCCACCCCATCCCACCCCACCCCACCCCACCCCACCCCATCACAGTAGTAGTGGCCCATGGAGCGTTATTATTGAAAGGATCTTCCAGTGCCTCAATTATCGTCCTACCCGTCCTTGCTCTAGCCATTGCAAAGAAACACGCATCCATTGCTCCTTCCATGTTGTGGTGTCTGAGTTTACCCATGATTTTCATTCCTTGCCACCTACACTCCAGTTGGGTCAGTAGCTGGTCTTCCAAGACTTGTATTTCATTGGCTTGTGCCTTTAAGATTTCTTGATCTTCTGATTCTATTTCAATTTGTCGTATCTCTTGTAATCTATTATGGAGTGGTGTTTCCTTTGAATGCCTTTGTGATGCCAACATCTTAGAATATTTATTGCATTTACGGCCTAAGAACATTAGGTCGTTGTTGAACCACTCTATATCATTATTGATGAAACCTCTTTGGTTCTACAGAATTTCCACACGTCCTGCAGATAACTCACAAAGCAGTCCATTTTTAAATGAGACGTGTTTAGTTTGTAATATCCTTTCCCCTGATCTGGTTTCTTTCGAAATGAGAAAATGGCCACCCACATCACATGATCTAGCCCAGGGTAAGGACTTCTCAGAAAAAAATCTGGAACTTGCAATGCCCCTTGTAGCTCCTGAGACACAAGGATAAGATCAATGCGAGATTTCATATTTTGACATGACTGACCTTTCCTTTACATATGTAAGGGATAGCGACCCGGTACGCCTGTCCAAATCTAGGATTGACCTCATCTTTATATCCAACGACCTAGAAGGAGCATTGCGATGGTCGCTCATCCTCCCGCGGAGCCCGCACCCAGGACTAGATCACAAGACATGTGGAATAGTACTGACAATGAGAAAGAGGCCAGATCAGGGGCCCTGTTTTTGTAAGTTGAACACCTCCCTTCTTAAAGATGTAACCTTCACACAGATGATCCATGACGAATGGAACTTCTGGCGTCAACAAAAGCATCGGTTCGACTCTCACATTACATGGTTCAACAATGGGCTAATCTATCTAGCAAAAAAATGCAAGGATCTTTCCAAAGCAACGACAGCCCAACGACAACAGCAAGAGATGTCTACCCACAAAGAACTAATCACCCTGGAACAACAGGCATATTCACAATCTCTTACTACCACCATCCAAGATATTAAAGACCGCCTCTTACAATATGCATTACATAAATGGCAAGGAATTAGAATTCGAGGGAAACTGACCAAATTTACTCGGGAAGCTACGATGGACACCCGCTTTTTCTCCATGGCCACAGCACGGGTCAGACGGACTGTCATAGAAGCCTTCTTTGACCCAAACGATGGCGGAACCATAGCTACTGACAGAACACACTGCACACTAATAACTAGGACCTTCTTCAAACAACTATACACATCCCAGATCCCACCCTCACAAACGGACAGAAGAGACAAGGAACTGGAGGAGTTCTTAACACCAATGGATCGACACCTTTCCCCACATCAGCGGGAACAGCTAGAGGAACCCCTGTCTAGAAATGAAATCTGGACAGCACTCCTCCAAATGAAAGAGGAAAAAACACCCGACATAGACGGACTTCCCAAGGAATTTTGGGAAACCATGTGGCCGGACCTGAGCTCGGACTTATGGGAGTATTATCAGGAAGTGTGGAACGCCGGGGAGATGGGAGAAATCGTGGGTAGAGGTGTGCTATCATTGCTATATAAAAAGGGTGACAAAATGACCATTAGGAACTATAGACTTATCACTCTGCTCACAGTAGTCTATAAAATGGTTTCCAAAGCGTTGGCGAATCGTATGGCATCCGTCCCAGAAGATGTCTTACACCCGGCCCAGACAGGATTCATGCCCGGAAGGAATATACAAGAAAATATCTTACTAGTTAATGAGGTGATCCAACTAGCCCAACGAAATAAGGCGAACGCGGCTATTATATTCATTGACTTCGAAAAAGCATATGACCACGTGGACTGGGCATTCCTGGACAAATGTTTGGAAAGAATGAACTTTGGTCCTACCTTTCGACATTGGGTTCGGATCCTTCATCAAAACGCCACCACCTGTGTGCAGGTGAACGGGTCGATAGCGCCCCCCTTCGAGCTTCAGAGGATGGTAAGACAAGGGGACCCCATCCCACCCTACCTGTTTGTGGTCATAATGGAAGCACTTCCAGCCAACCCAATGCATAATAAAAACCTCTCTCGTATCAAAATCACTAATATCCCGGAGGAGGCTGTGCCGACCTGCTCCCTTTTTGCTGATGATCTTTCCATAATGATGGAAGCAACGGACCGTAACATGGAAGAAATCCAAAGCCTCATGAACCGGTTCTGCCAGCTTTCGGATATGGCAGTAAATTGGGGGCAGAAGACTACAGGCTGGTGGATGCACCATCAAGGAGGAAGGCCCCCTGAAAACCCGTGAATCACATGGCTCCCCCTGGAAGACCCATTGAGAGTTTTGGGGGCCCTTCTTACAACAAAGGGAAAGTCGGCGACCAACGACGAGTGGTTGACTGAACGCCAAACTAAAGCAATGGAACAAAAAGCACACATCGTTATTTGGGAGGACTTTGGTCATAAATAATGTGGTTCTGGCCACACTTTGGTACAAATCGATTGTATGGCCCATGAGCGACGGGGGACTTAGGTCACTCAAACAGCAGCTTGCAGCCTTCCTCTGGAGAGGGAACAGTAATGCCCCCCACGCAATTAGTCGAGTAGCTTGGGACTCAGTGATTTAGCCCAAAACCAGAGGAGGACTAGGAATTATGGACCCGGCCACTCAATCCCAGACTCTCACACTTCGTTGGCTTCAACACATCATCCTTTCTCCGTCCTCCCTCTGGCCCCCACTGGCCCTGACACAAATT